GAGGACACAGTGCTCTACATGATAGGACACAGGGACAGAAGGACTAGGTGACAAGGAATCCCACAGAGGCCACATACAGTATTAATGGTATGTAGGTGTGGGGTCTCTGCACATGCCATGGCCATCAGTCTGCATGAGGCAGGAAGGATATTTGGTTCAAGAAAACTCAGTAGATGGTATTGGTTCAAACTTGTAATGTTTGACTCAGGGAGTTTATTTTAGGCATGTTTAAGCACAACTTAGGGGGAAGTTCCCTGATGATTATTAACTCACTCCTGTATGTACAACACAGCTTAAATAATGTGATAACATTGTAACTCTTCTCGAAGTACAAATGACCTCTTCCATATGATGGGTTCTAGTGGCTGAGAAACAATGCTTGAGATAGGGGTCTAGGAGGGAGAGTCTGGAATAAACATTAGAGTCCAGGGCAGTCAGATGTGGCCTGCCCTACAGATAGCACAGGGTCACCAGGCTATTAACTACACCCAGTACCAGGCTTCTGGGCAGAAAACAGGTCACACATCTCTTTCTTTGAAGAGACAATCTTGCATGTTTAACAATTTTGGTTTCCTGTGCTTATATGTGAACATAAGGCACATGGGCCTTTTACATATAAGAACTTAATTGCTCACAAAGCCCGACATCCTGGGTCATGGCCATAATCCCAGCATTGGGTAGGCTAAGGCAGGCAGATCACATGCAGCCAGCCTGGGCCACAGAATGACAACTTGTCTAAATATAACTAGAACACAGTGGCTTGGTCAATGACCTACTCAGTAAAGGATGGACCTTACTAAAGGCAGGACAGGTTAGTGAATCACCCCACGGTCCAGTCATACTCCATAGCAGGCCGAAGTACTGTTGGCCTGAGTCCAGACTACAATTTTGCTCCAATCGTGGCTAATGATATGAATATAAATGGGGGCAGGGGTCATGGAAAGCCACTAGGAAATAGAATTGAGCACAATTAAGGAATAAATCAAAACAATAACCTTGAAGGCGGTATGTGTACTCATGCAGATGGTGAATGTGTGCCGACTCCACCCCAGCCTCCTGTCTTGTCCCTATGGGCGGGGCCGGGGGGGGGCGTCCCCAAGACCATGTGGTAAGTTCAGCAGCTGACTGTGCTGGAGAGGCAACCAGGACAGGGAGGCCAGCTCCTGTCTCTCACCTTGTGGTTGCCACAGTGTCCACCCTGGTGTCAACCTCAGCCCCCGGGGGAGCCGCTGCTAGAAAGGCCGTGCTTCTGGCCTCTGCCAACGCCATTGCTTCCTAGGTCCAACCTGCCAGTGTTCACCCTTGGAAGCCAAGGTGTTTCCATACACTGGACTCCAGGGCACATCTCCTCACAGTAGCTCTTTCCTGTATCTTCGCTGGGCTCTGCACAGACCGCGGAGCCCCTGAGGTGGTTCGAACCCATGTCCCCATGCGTTGCTTAGGGCTTCCCTTACCCGATGACTGGATACGGAGCACACAGACTCCAAGCCTTCTGCCCCCTACAGAAGCAATTTCAGCCGCTAGCCAGACTCTCTTGCAGGACCTGGTTGATGCCACACCTGGGAGACTGGCCTTGTTTGTGACCCCTTATTGACTTCCCTTCCTGGTCTCACTTCCCTGATGGCTCTGCCAAGGATTACTTCCTAAAACATTTTCACAAGGTTTGCTTTCCCATGACCTGCCTCTGAGGAAGTAAGCTTGCCACAGGAAGATGGGGCTCCCCTGCCATGCCTGTCCCCCAACAGGGCAGAGTCTCTGCTCTTCTGTCACCTGGGCAAACAGTGCATTGAATTCAAACGTTTCTCTTTCCAACAGCTGGGATGGCTGATGCTGTCCTGCCTGGACTCTGACCAACAAAATAATCACAAATATCATAAAATAATAATAATTGAGGAATAATCCCATGCTATGGTCATATAGTATAAAGTCAGCAAGTGAAAGGGGTCCAGCAGACGTCACAATGTGAGTCACAACATACCTCCTGTGCCTTGGAAAATAAAGACAACAGAGAAAAACTAACTTCTGGAAAGATGGCTCAGTGATTAAGAGCATATATTGTTCTTCCAGAGGGCCCAAGTTAAGTTCCCAGGACCCACCCTGGCAGCTCACAACTTCCTGTAACTGTAGCTCAGAGGGATCCAACACTTCTTCCAGCCTATGCGAGCACCTGAACTCACTTGTACAAATCACACATGCACACATATGTGCACGCATGCACGCACGCACGCACTCATGCACATGCACACATACATAATTAAAAATAAACATTTTATAAAAGAAAGAAGGATGAATGCTGACTCTCTCTAGATTGCAAACTTTGATTACCCAATGAAGGGCTGAATGAGCAGCTACTCCATGGCAGGCCCTTGAATGGTACCAGTGAACAGAGAGAGGAAAGAACTGTGTCTGCCTCCAAGCCTGGAACAAGAGTCCACACTCACACAGCAATGAATGTCATGACCACTTCACGTCTATTTTACTAGGAATATTTTTTTTCTCGGATGCTGAGGATGGAACCAGAACCTTGTGTGCCCAGAGCCCATGCTCTGAGCCATTTGCTGGGGCCTAGAAGGAATGTTTTCAAATACTAAGCCCATGCTGGCCAGGCTGCCGTAACATCGCCTCATTTCTGCACTGTGAAGCATCTGCAAAATCTTTTTATTTTGAGATTTTATTTGTATATAAGTGTTTGCCTGAATGTATGTTTGTGTACCATGTAGGTACAGTATCTACCTGTGGAGACCAGAAGAGAGTGTCAGATCCCCTGGGACTGGAAATACAGACCATGTGGGTGCTGGGAATGGAACCCAGGTTCTCTGGAAAAGCAGTCAGTGCTCTTAACCACTGAGCCATCCCTCCAGCTCCTACAATTCTGATATTTAGAAGACATTTTGTATATGTGGTAGTATGCAGAGTGAAGAAATGCTCAAATTCTCTCATGGAAATTTTTGGGGGATAAAGATTTTAAAAATTATCTCTGTGGTGGTGGCTCATAACTTTAATCCCAGACTTGGGAGGCAGAGGCAGGTGGATCTCTGTGAGTTTGAAGCCAGCCTGGTCTACAGAGTGAGATCCAAGACAGCCAGGGCTACACAGAGAAAACCTGTCTCAAAAAACAAAACAAAACAAAATTTTAAAAAGAAAATGGTATCAACAGCTAAGAATAGGTAAGTGATTGTGAGCTTTTCTGATTGATAGAAAAGTATGCATGTGTTGAAATTATAGTTCAATATAGTAATGTTGGAGGATTTCTTTGAGATATAGTCTCTGTATGTAGCTCTGGCTGTCCTGGAGCTCACTATATAGACCTGTGCACTACCATACCTGGCTGAAAGATAATCTTAGCAGGGAAAATTATTTTATGTATATAATTAGAACTGGTGCCATGCTGAGATATATATGAATAAAAACTCCTTGTTGGTGGGGACATATTAGACTCCACATGACTGTGGGCAGGGACATATTAGACTCCATGTGTCTATGGGTAGGGACATATTAGACTCCATGTGTCTATGGGCAGGGACGTATTAGACTCCACGTGACTGTGAGCAGGGACATATTAGACTCCATGTAACTATGGGTAGGGACATATTAGACTCCATGTGACTGTGAGCAGGGACATATTAGACTCCATGTAACTGTGAGCAGGGACATATTGGACTCCAAGAGACCGTGGGCAGGGACATATCGGACTGGGGGAATAAGACTTTTTTCACTGTTGATTCGACATTTAAATGAAACACCAGCATTCAACAGTAACTGTAAGGAGGGGCAGGATAAGGTGGTGGCTCTTAACTTTGCCTGCTGCTGCAGTTTGCATCTGAGTTGGTGACAAGAATGACCAATTAGAAGGTAGTGGAGAGTTGAAAAGGCTGGGGTTGTTTGGAGGCTTTAGTCTACTGGGCATCCATTAACCCGGCCATCTTCCATCTACCATCCATCCATCTATTCATCCACGCACATGAAGGTTTACTCAGACATGCATCCATTCACTCACCCACTCATCATCCACCGCATATCCATCCCAAAGAAAGGATGCAATCGTAGCCCGCTCCCCTTCCTTTTCATTTTCCTCATTGTCATGACCATGGAGGGAAAGGCTTCTTCATACACTGCCACCATGATCTACTGCTACACCATAGGTCCAAAAGCCATGTCCTGAAACTTCTAGAACTTGGAGTCAAAGTAAACCCATCCCCTTGTGAGCCTCTTGTCTTGGGCACTTGTTACAATGGTGCAGAGGAGGTAAACGTAAGCCCGTGTTAGAAATCTCCTGAAAAATCTTATTTAAGATGTCGAGACTGGGGGCTGGGGCTGGTTTGATCCCTAGCACTGCACAAAGGGAGATGCTGGGTCTGTCACCGTCTCCGAGTGCCATTCCGTCTCCACCAAGTGCCATTCCATCAGTCTGTAGTAGAGGACTCGCACCAATAGTAAATCAAACAAAGCATGTGAGTCAGTCAAACAGAACTAAAGAGCAATACTAGAGAGAGTCACAGACCTGGGGAGGTGGTAGACAGCGACCTCTGGTCTTCTCGCATCCCTACAGTAACCCTGGGAACTAAAGCCACAGGGGTCGCTGGCTCACCCAATCTTACATAACAGCTAGTCTATCGGACATGGGACTCCATTGGCTTCTGGGTTGGCAGGACTAACAGCATTCATCAAAAAAACCATTTCCCTCCTCTTATTGCTCTGATGTTGAAGGAGACACAGAAAGCGAGCTGGGAAGGATGGGAGCTTCCTCCTCAGTCAGTTACCACCTCCTCCCTCCTTGGGAATCTCCCCACAGATTGAGGTGACTGGAGTCTGCTCCTGCTCCAACCCACCCCATCTTCACCCCTATATCCTCTCAGCACATGGACTAGGAAATAAAGGCTGTCCAAACCAGGAGCCCAGAAAACATACCTGGTAACAGTTGTCACGTTTGGGAAGGTGACTCCAGGGTCAGGAGAAGAGACACCAGCTGTGGACTTGGGGAAGGCTTGGGTCACAGTCCTGTCCCTCGGCAGGTGTTTTGTGGTAATAAGGATGGGAGCTTTAGTTGGGCTTGTAGTAGGAGTGATGCTTAGGGTGGGCAGACCTGAGGAATCTGCAAAAGACAGAGGTTAGATAGATAAATGGATGGACCATATAATGGACATGTGCATGGATGGATGAATGGATGGGCAGATGGAAAAACAGATGGAAAGATGGATGGATGGATGGATGGATGGATGGATGGATGGATGGATGGATGGATGGATGGGCAGATGGAAAAAACAGATGGAAAGATGGATGGATGGATGAGTAGTTAAAGAGAAACGGAGCTGAGGAGAATGAACATGGCCATTCAAAAAACAAGGTTTTCTTCTACTAAAATAAAAAGAAATAGTGTAAAGTGAGCCTGAATCAGAGAGAGAAATGAACAGAGAAAGGAGGGAGGCTGGCACGAGTCGTGAAGAAGACTTCTCGGCTTCTGAGTTACGGAAATGTTCTTGTCTGCTGTTGTTCACCTCTCCATCTGCCCCGTTCTCCCCCTCACACCGTTCTCTCTGCCTCCGTAAGTCACGTCCTCTAAAACTTGTCTTCACTGGTGTATTACATCTGAGCTTCCTCTTGGACTTGGCATGGACTTCCCTAGTTCTAGGAAGGGAGGCCTGTTTCTCTTTTCTCTGCCATCCTTGATCATCCACTGTCACTCGCTAGGGATGTAGAGCCCAGCACGGTTCCAGCTCTTCCTCGGTGAGTTCAGAGATTCATAGGGGGGACTTGTAAGTACACTGGTCACCACTGAAGTGAGCCTAGACACTTGTTCCTCCTAGGCAAGTGTCACTTCAGGTCTCCTGAGACACAGGGTCTGATTTGAAATAAGGACTTCAGGTGGGTCATGCCCACAGCAAGTCTGAGATACACAGTTTAGAAGGCCATGGTGGCTACCAATGGCATCTTGGGAGAAGGAGAGTAGATTACAAGAGGCTTCCTAAGAAGAGAACATAGCATCCATGGATTACAGTACCTACAGGCAAGCTGCAACCCAGCAAGGATATGGTGTTCACAGCCCAGTCAATTCAAGGACAGGCACACACCACCCAATTGTATGGGCCACAAACCCATGGAACCTGTAGACATCTTGCTGACGTCAGCTCAGGCCCAGGCCTCAGAACCCCAGCCCTATGGGTAGACTGCACATACAGCTTCTTATGGAGAGCCTCCAACTGCCCTCCAGGCATAGAGATGGCCTGTCCAGGGGTATAACACTGGTGCTTACGATACCACCACCGCCACAGTCACCACTGCTAAGGCCACCTATGCAGCTTAGTGGGCATGCGGCACTCAGCCTGCTCACCCAGCCCATGAGCAGCAGACGGCAGCCACCATGCCTATCCACCACAAGAGAGCAAAACGTCAGCTTCCCTATAGTACAGGGGGTTAGGACAAGCCCTGCCTAGGATATGGACAGCGTGACTACAGTTATCCCCGGGTACCAGGGAGCCAGCCTGTGTCAACACTCACCACACCTCTATCCTGTTCTGCTGGGAGTCAGGCTGATCCAAGACTTTCTCAGAGGCCTTGATGAAAAGACAAAGGGACACCAGTTCTGTGTCCTTACCCAGGAACAAACGTGGCAAGGGCTGATCTGAAGCTAGGACCTGGGCCTCGAAGGAGTTAAGGTTTTGGTTCCTGGGAACTAGACTTTTCCCTACTAGAGAGACTGGAGTTATCAGTCCCATGGCTGCTGGACACTTGGTCTATTTCACACTTGAGATTTCCCGTGTTCCCTTCATTCAATGTTGCTTGATTACTGATAACTCGGCCCCTGATAACTCGGCCCCATTGTATGACAGCTTTCTGCTGCCTCTGTCCCATTTCCCCTGCAAAGTGCATGTAAGACACTGAACTGTTTGTTTGCTTCTTTCTTTCTTTCTTTCTTTCTTTCTTTCTTTCTTTCTTTCTTTCTTTCTTTCTTTCTTTCTTTCTTTCTTTCTTTCTTTCTTTCTTTCTTCTTTGAGACAGGATCTTACTATGTAGCTCTGGCTGTCCTGGAGCTCACTACACGGATCAAGCTGGCCTTGAACTCACAGAGACCCATCTGCCTCTGTCTCTCAAGTGCTGGGATTAAAGGTGTGTGCTACCATGCCTGACCGATGCTTTACTTCTTAATAAATTTGTTTAGCATAAGACACAGCTTGTGCAAGACCTCCTGACCCCAACTTTACAGTCCTTTTTTTTAAAATTCTGAAGCCCTGGTTCTCGCTCTCGGGTCATCCTCCCACCAGCAATTCATCTTCACAGCTGACTAGTTACGATCTAAGCAGTTTCTCTCAGCAGAATTATGGGCCAGCAGCTATGGAAGGCAGAGTAGTCATGGTCACCAAAGCAGTTATGTGTAGCAGTCTCTCTGTTACCCTGCTCAGACTGGCTCCTACAGCCAACTTAACATAACCTACAAAGCAGCATTCTGAGGAGCCCACTCTACACCCTAGAAGTACGAGTATTTATGGGCAGGGGTCCTGAGGATTTCCTGGACCAGGAGAGAGCTGGAACATGGGTAGCCAGGAAAGAGTGGAGATTTAATCCTGGAGGCATGAGCAGAGGTGGGTAAGAAGGTGAATAGGATGGAATGGGCATTGGAGAGCTAAGTGGCTTCAATAAGCCTGGTGGACCTGTGGGTAAAGGGGCAGATCTTGGTGTATTATAGACCTCCCTATAAATCTCGAAGACTTGGCCAACAGTGCAATTTATGTCAAAGGATTAAATGACAGTGTGACTCTGGATCTAGCAGATTTCCTTAAGCATTGTGAGGTTGTTAGAATGAGCAGGAGAGCTTGGCAACCCATGATCCTCATCTACCTGGATAAGGAAACAGGAAAACCTGAAAATGATACCATAGTGTCCTAGCAGGATCTGCCAACTGCCAGGTCACTATGGAGTGACTTGATGGGAGATTTACAAGCAAGCAAACTTAAAGTCTCTCTTGCCTGAAAGAAGCCTCCAATGAACAGCATGTAGATTTGTGTGCCACCCTAAGAGGGCAGAAGGATGCCACCACCAATCTGCAGAGGCCCTGATGACTCAGGAGATCCTGGAGGATCCATAGGTTACATAGAAGGTCATGGAGGAAACAGGGGAAACTTGCCCCCAAAAGGGCTCCGAGTTCCAGGGAGATCTCCCTCTGGAGGAGGGAATGTCCAGCACCAAGCTGGAGAATGGCCAAGTCCAACCTGAACTGTAGAAACCAGAATTTTGCCTGGAGAACAGATCGTAACCAGAGTGAGCCTGAGCACTTCCTCCCCAACCCTGCCCACCTCCGAATGATGGCCGTGGCAGCGACTGCAGTGCGGCATAAAAGGAGGAAGATGTGGTTCTAAAAAACTCTGGTGGTCTTCAAGGAGCATCCAGAGGATGCTTCAGATGTGACCATGGCCAGTACAGAGGTGATTTGTGTGGAGGAAAATAAGGTGGCACAAAAGGGTTTCCTGGACCTTTGATGAAACAAAATTATTGTTTAAGGCAGAAAATGTCCTAAATGTATAGTTCCATATTTATAATGTTGGCCATGACATTGTTCTGAAGAAACGTTAAAACAAGCTAAAGGGTTAATTAAAAAAGAACAGCTTCCTAAGGACAAGACTTCTAAGTAGAGATCTCAGAAATGAAACTAAATCATATCCCAAATCTAGTGCTCATCTTCTCCCAAGGGGAATCCATACACAGGAGCCTCCAATTACTATTGGAGGACCAAGTGCCTGCCAACAGCCTTGGATGGCAGACAAGGAAATTCTGGCAGGAAGCCAGGCTGCTAGGATCCTGGGTCACTACCCCATCTCTGCCTGACCTATCTCTCTCTCCTCCCTCCCCAGACACTTCCTGGTCACTCACCCTTGGTCACCACCAGGCGGACAGGATGCAAGAGTGGAATAGGTTCCTTAGAAGGGTAGTAAATGACACAGCGATACAATCCAGAGTCTGTCACTCGAAGGTCAGTCATTTGGACATGCAACATGGCCTCAGCAGGGTCGTCCTTCAGTGTGTACTTCCCCTCGCGGACTTCACTGGGATTTCCAGACGACCCCTCTGTGATCACCAGTGTCAAGGGCTCCTTCCCATCCGGCAGCCTCTGCCAAGCCTTCTGGCTCCTGGCATATTTCATGATGTTGAAGGGGCAGCTCACTGTCAAGGTCTGTCCCTCAAGTAGCTCATACCTTTCTTCGGCTGGCTCAACGGCAGCTCCGACTTCTAAAAACAGGAAAAGGGAAACAGGCTGTGTTGAGAACGGTCTCCGTCAAAACTCTCCACTGGGCAGGAGCTGTTTGGTGTTTTACTGTAAGAACCAATGATATGTGGTCCATGGAAATCAAACTTAGTAAATGATCCTTTTGTGAGTACATGTTAGTGCATGTATGTATGTGTGTATGCCATGGCACCCAGGGGCCAACCTCAGGTATCATACGTGCCTCAGAATACTGTCCATTTAGTTGTTTCTTTTTTTTTCAAGGTCTCTCACTTTTTACACCGAACTGGAATATTCATCTGGGCTGTCTGGTTGTTGAGTGCCAGGGATCTAGCTGGCACTGCCTCCCTAGTGCTGGGGTCACTAGTTCAAGTCCCCACATCTGACTGTTTCACCTGGCTTCTGGGGATCAAACTCGGGTCCTCATGTGTGTGGCAAGCACTACGCCAATTGTATCGTTTATTTCTCTAGCCCTAAGTGATTCTTTAAAAAGAGATGAATTGTCTGCCTGGAGACATGAGTGGCTAGAGCATGATGGGAGAGGAAGGCTGTAGAAAGGTACTGCCCGGGGTAAAGAGTGGATAGAAAGACATGATCCAAGCACAGGATGATGTTCAGGAAGTTTGAGGGGCTCCATCTAAGTCAGGACAAAGAGATCAGTTCAGAAGACACTAGGAAGCATCAAGGAAAAGTAATAAAAATAAAGCATCATGGGCATGATGGGTAGGCAGGCGCTCTGCCTACCCGGCAACACTCTCTCCCTTCTGTGAGTAACAAGCACCTCTCTCTAGGATTCTGCTGATGGGGTTGCCCTATTTGCAAGGACATACCCATGAGGAGGCTTAACGGTCGAAACAACCCTAAGACCCTGGCCGCACAGATTGGCTTAGGAACGGGCATAAGAGCGTGAACACCATCCTGTGCTTGGATAATGACTTTATATCCACTCAGGCCTGGATAGTATTCTCCAACAAAGGCCTGAACAGAATGCCGGGTCAGTGAGTTAGACTTTCACTTCCCAAAACTACTACTGCTGTTCTTACCACAACTGACACACACACACACACACACACACACACACACATACATACACACACACACATACACACACACAGACACACACACATGACCACCACCCACATGAAACATACACACACACACTCGCGCACGTGTGCGCGCGCACACACACACACTTGCGCGTGCGCACACACACATACACACACACACACACACACTCGCACACATGCACCAGCCACACAGGTGAAGACTTACCACTTTAGTAGAGCCCTTGCCTGCCCACACACGATATGTCAGGCTCCAGAAGGTCTGCTCTGCCCTCAGGAAAAAGTTCAAGATAATCCTCAGCTACACAGTAAATTTGGGGCCACACACCCAGAGACTAGCTAGCAGAGGCTCTGGGCTGTGTTGAACTCATTTTGATTACTCTCTCACAGGATGACTGATCCACCCTTTGTGACCATCCTTGGGCTCCACCCTCATGTGTTGTCGTGGAGGCGCTGACTCATTGACATGTTACAAATGAAGACCCAGGGGCGGGGCTGGTCCAGCCCTGCTCAGCACCGGGGAGGAGCTGGGCTCTCCAGCTCCAGCATTCGATGAAAAGCTGACATTATAACCTCCATGAGGACAGACACAGGCTTCTCTTCATACCTTTGGCCTCTGAAGTAACAGATTTGCTGGCCCAAGGGAACCCTGGGAAATACCTGTTAAACAAATTACATCTCTGCTCTCTGACACACTGTCCACATCAAAAACACCATGGGGGAATAGAGGGGAAAAGTCTCAACATGAGACAATGTCATTCAGATGGCTGGACACAGTGGCTCACACTTTTATCTCAGCATTAGGGAGGCAGGGGCAGGAGAATTGCTAGGTGAGTTCAAGGCCAGCCTGCTCTACATAGACAGTTCCAGGACTGCCAGGGATACAGTGAGAGACTGCCTCAAAAGATACACATATGTTATTCAGATCATGCCACGTTTGGATTGGCTGGATCTGCTGACCTGGTAGCGCCCATCTCTAATCTAAACACACAAGAAGCTGAGGCAGGAGGGGTTCAAAGCCAACTTGGTTATCGGTGAGACTCGGTGATGCTGCCCTTGTTTCCACTGAAGGACCTATATGTCTCTGACATAAAAATGCACATGGAGGCTGGGGCTGCAGCTCAGTGGTAAAGCAGCAGCCTGGCACGTGGGGGGTCCTGGGTTCCATCCCCAGGACTGAAAAAAAAAAACAAAACCCAGCAGTTAAGAGCATTTGCTGCTCTTGCAGAGGACCAGGCTTTGATCCCTAGCACCTAAAGAGCAGCTCGCAAACAGTAACTCCAGTTCCAGGGAAATCTGATGTCCTCTTCTGGCCTCTTCAGGTACCAGAGATGTATGGTACACATACATGCATGCATGCATGCATGCACACACATAAAATAATTTTTTTTTAAAAAAGCAAAGACCGCATGCCTCTCTAACTCACCCCTCCTTACATTTCTTTTCATCAGCCTTGGGGATCTGATTCTCTGAGCTCAGGTGAAGCCTGGCCGGTGTGAGCAGTGGTTGGCCCCATGTTTGGGTGGCTGTATGCTTTAGGCCAGTTCTTTTCAACCTTCCTAATGTGGTGATCCCCAACCATGAAATTATTTTCATGGCTACTTCATAACTGTAATCTTACTTCTGTTAGGAATTGCAGTGTAAACATCTGTGTTTTATAGTCTTAAGCGACCCCTGTGAAAGGGGCTGTTGACCCCTCAAAGGGGCCCGACTCCCAGGTTGAGAACCACCGCTTTAGCGCTTCAGAAGGGAAGAGCTTCACGGGGTAGGGGGGGCGGCTCTCTGGTAAAGCATCTGCTGCGCACAGGCGTGAGGACCTGAGTTTGGACTCTAGCACCGTGTCAAGTGTCAAAAGCCTAGTGCGGGAGGACGCACTTCTGTCCCAGCACCACGCAGGCAGACAAATGGGTCCCTGGGCCACACTGGCCCGCTGGCTTAACAAAGAAGCCACCTCCAGGTTCAATGAGAGAGTCAAAGGCAAGGCAGATCCAGGTGTGGCAGTACAGGGCACACTTTTAACGTCAGTAATGAGGAGGCGGAAGCAGGGGCAGAGAGAGGGCCAGCCTGGTCTACATAGCAGGTTCCAGGCCAGCCAGGTTACATAGTGAAACCATGTCTCAGGAAAAAAAATGTGAAAAGCAATAGAAGACACCCAAGGTCAACCTGTAACACACACACACACACACACACACACACACACACACGGCTGCTAAAGGCCAGAACCCTCACCTGCCTTACCTGAGACAAGGAATACCCACAGCAGCCCCCAGAGTTCAACCTTCCTCATCCTCCAAGTTCAGCTCCAGCTGCCTCTGTGGGCTGCTGGGGACAGCTATAAGACACCCCTGCACCCAGACTCTCTAGGAAGTTTCACAACAGGACATGAGGCTTTTCCTGGGAGGTACAGTACTGACACTGACCACCCTGCCTGCTGACGTCTGCAGGGGAGCTCGGGGACCAAACCTCAGTTAAACCTCCCCAAACCTGTTTCCTCTTCTCCGAAAATTACTCTCTTCTTTTCCATGCTGTTTTTTTTTTTTTTTTTGGTTGTTTGGCTGGTTTCATTGTTTCAGGTTTTTCTTTTATTTTTTGAGACATGGTGTTGCTATGTGACTGTGGCTATTCTGGAACTCACTATAGACCAGGCTGTCCTAGAACTCACAGAGATCGGCCTGCCTCTGTCTGCCTAGTGCTGGGATTAAAAGACCACCATACCCCATAACAATTACCTTTCCAACCACACAGAAGTGTTGGTTTTTATTCAGAGAAGGTTTCCAGGGTAGCCCAGGTGACCCTCTAACTTGTCGTCCTCCACGCTGAGGTGACAGGCACATGCCAATATGCTCATTCTCAACCTCAGGGAATTTTAGTGAGATAACTGTAGTCAACGTTCGTGTTACACAACATCCATCTCAAACACAACATCAACTTTCTCATTCCAGAAACAGGAATTCATCACCTCTGACATGGTTTCCGGCACTTCATGACACGCTACTTCCTGAATACGCCGAATCCAACTTCCTCTTGTGGAGGCAACGAGACACCACCTGCTGGGCTCTCCCCACACCCTGTGTGGACACCTTGGAGTTAATCAATGGTATGCCAGGGCAACTGTGATTGTCTTCCAGGGATGGAGTGGGAACCCCACAGAGAAGCGTGACTGGGGCACTGCCCTTCAGATGGGCAGCCTGTACAGTCAGCTCTGTAAGTGCCAATCACAGCCACCAACTCCCGGGTGGCCCCTGCGTGGCAGCCACACACCAGCACTTGCTAGGGTGGGCACCCCTCTGTTACTAAGTCCTTTGCTCTGTCATCCCCGGTCTAAACCTTGGCTTGATGGAGGCAATGCCTGCGTGCCTTCTCCCCCATGGCGGGCCTTGTCCCCTGGGACTGAGAACCACACCGAGCACTTCCTCCCGAGGTTGCTGTTGTCGGTATTTTGTCACAGTAGTGAGAAAAGTGACTAATGCAATGGGCAAACACAAAGTCCTGACCCTTGGTCCCCGCCCTGCCAAAAGACACCAGAGGATGTGCAAGTGACTCCTAGATGAATACAAGGCTTCCATGGAAGCTACAGAGTTAAGTGTGGTGGCTGTGATTGTGCCGGCCTGTGAAGCTCTGCACTGGGGTCTGGAGCTTGGGAACCATGATGTGATGATGATGATGATGGTGATGATGGTGGTGATGGTGATGATGGTGGTGGTGGTGATGGTGAGTGATGATGGTGATGATGGTGGCGATGATGGTGATGGTGATGATGGTGACGATGGTGGTGGTGATGATGGTGATGATGGTGATGGTGGTGATGGTGATGATGATGGTGATAGTGGTGGTAGTGATGGTGATGGTGGTGGTGATGGTGGTGATGATGGTGATGGTGGTGATGGTGATGATGATGGTGATAGTGGTGGTAGTGATGGTGATGGTGGTGGTGATGGTGATGATGGTGATGATGGTGATGGTGATGACTGTGGTGCTGGTGATGACAGCAGAAGCTCCATGGCCCAGCACTTGCCTCGCTTGTACAAAGTCCTGGATCCCATCCCCAGTCCTGAAATAAACAAACTGATCATAGCATGGATGCAGACCCTGACTCCTCAAAAGGAGATGAGGACAGGCTGCAAAGGGAAGTGGCTGCCTGTGGGGGCGGGGGAGGCAATACACAGAAAAGCCAGAGCCAGACTTTCCAGGTAACAATCATTTAAGAGCAAAGGTGTCAGGAGACTCCTGGACACCATTAGGTGGCCAGTGGGTGAGAAATGTAAGCCATTCTTCACTTAAGGGGGGAGCTGTGGAGCTGAAGAGATGGCCAGTGGTTAAAGCGCCAGCTGCTCTTCCAGGGGACTGAGTCCAGTTCCCAGAGCCCGAGTCTAGTGGTTCACAACCACCTCTAACTCCAGCTCTATGGGATGCAAAATCTCCAGCCTATGCAAGCCACTGCAGGCTGGTGGGGGTGGGCAGGGGGTGTCAGAGGACACTCTGAGGAAGTCAGTTCTCTCCTTCCGCCACGTGGATCTCAGGGATTGAACTCAGGTCGTCAGACTTGGTGGCAAGGCCCTTTACCTGATGAGCCATTTCCCTGGCCCCATATGCTTTCTAGACTTTTGATCCAGTTGGAAAGAAATTAAAGCTGGGCCTGGTGACACACATCTTGAATCCCAGCACGTGAGAGACAGAGATAGCCAGGAGGCTGTAAGTGTGAGGCCAGCCTCAAACAAGCTCCGGGAAAGCCAGGGCTACAAATGAGACCTCAGCACAGTGGTAGCCCGGGCTTGTTATCGCAGTGCTCAGGAGGGGGATGAAGGGATTTCCAGGCCTGCCTCAAAATGAGCAAGCTGCCGGCTCCTGCTGCTCAGCTCTCAGCACCACAGCTCCACTGGGGTAGTGGGTGGGCCACAGGCCAAAACTGCTCTGCTGCCACCCAGAGAGCTGCCTGAGTCCAAGCAGAGGCTGGTTGCCATGTCCCATATGCCAGCCTCACTGAGGCCTCCATCCTCTGTCCTTATGAAGGAAGAGATTTCCTTTTTACCACTGGTTTACAACATCGTTAAATTCATTCAGAAAAACAACCCTGGTGCCCACCAGGACCTGCTGAATGCCGGCAAAATGAAATTCCAGACGGCGAGGGAGCACGTAGGCCCCGTGTGTGGCATCCACGTGAGCCCTGAGCAGCAGCGGCTGCTGCTCGACCTCCAAGGGCAATCCAGGCCCCAGAGGGGCTTCTGCAGAAATACAAGTGCCTCTGCTTGGCTGAGATCCCCAAAAAGTAGGGCCACCTCGCAGGGGGCCCCACGCCTTGGCGGGCTGCTCCTTGGGAGGCTCAGCTCTCGACTGTGAGACACCGTGGGGTCTCAGGGACTGGGCTCATCCT